AACAATCCTCATAAATTACGTAAATCGTCTCCTTCATGCCAATTATTAATAGTCACGGTGTCCACTGTTCGGCGAGACTTCTTGTTCCGGTTCGTGACTGGGTAAGCTTACCCAAGGACGAAAACCTCAAATGGAAAGGCTTATGGGTAAGCCTTTCAATTTGAAAGGCTTATGGGTAAGCCTTTCAATTTGAGGTTTTCGTCCTTGGGTAAGCTTACCCAGTCACGAACCGGAACAAGAAGTCTCGCCGAACAGTGGACACCGTGACTATTAATAATTGGCATGAAGGAGACGATTTACGTAATTTATGAGGATTGTTGTGAAGGAGACTTACGTAATTTATTTTTATTTCTTCCTGGTTTTGTCGTTTGTACCATTAAAGCGGTACACTATGGCATCGCAAAGTCCCAAAAATCATATCCGGACATCTTATCTTATCTTCGCCACCATGAACAGCGTCCGCCGCCGTCTCGACTCACTCGAGGCCCGGTCCTCCTGGTTCTTCGTTCGACTGTTGCTCCTCACAAGCTTCAGCTGGGCCCTCAATGCGGCCGAGTTCGTGCTCTACACGTGCACGCGGCGAAGTATGGTCGTCAGCATCTCGAAGAGCTCCTTTAAAAGTATCCGGCTGGCCATCCACGTCTTGAGACCCTTTGGCGGCGGCCTGTTCTTGGGGGCCGTCCTTGGCGCGCCGCTGTTTGGACGCATCGCTGACGTTAAGGGGAGACGCTGGGCCCTGCTATTGGCCAAGAGTGTGTCGCTATTCGGGTTGACACTGTCGATCTTGGCGAGGAAGGACTACGAGCTCATGAGTGCGCGATTCCTGGTTGGTATTGGGTTCGGTGGAGAGCTTCCGGTCGCCACAGTGCTGGTGCATGAGTTGGCCCCGAGAGGCATGCAACGTCGCATGGTAGCGCTGCTATACGCGTTCGCAGGCGTCGGGGGGATCGTGGGGTTGGCACTGAACTTCGTTGTTGAGCCAATGTTCGGTTGGAGGGGCGCGTACCTGGTGCTCTGCATCGGTATGTTGTACGTGGGCGCTCTGTGCTTCTTGTTCCCGAAGTCCCCGCGTTGGCTGGCGAGTGCTGGTCGAGAGACCGATGCGATGGCTGCAGTGGAGAACTTGGAGCGCGTTCATGCGTCCCGGCTAGACTACGATCGTGTTACAGGAGAGGAATCTGTGCAGACGGAAGAGCTGGAGGCTTCTGTTGAGGCTGAGAGTTTGACAGAAACAGCGAAGCCACCAGTGCGTGACAGTGCTGCGAGAGTTTGGATACTGTGGGCTGTGCTGGAGTTGTCCGGATACGGACTAAGCGTGTACGTCCCGCTGCTCGTCAGTCTGTGGGGGTTCAATATGTTCTCCAGATGGACTACGAGGGTCTTGCTTGGCCTATCACAAGTTGCTGGCTCTGTGCTAGCCTCGATGATGATGGAGGAGGTTGGCCCAAAGAAGCTTCTGGCTCGCTGTGCCGCTTCCGCGTCTTTGGTAGCGGTGATCCTGAGCCATGCTCCTTGGGACGGCCCTATTGTCGTCATCGGAGTGTGCATGGTATCAGCCTTACTCGCTGCTGGCTGGAGCTGCGCCCTCGTGTACGCACCGTCCAACTTCTCGACGGAGGTTCGCGGTCGAGGCGTGGGCTACGCGTTCGGCTTCAGTCGTTTGAGCGCCGTCATCGGTGCTTGGCTGTACCCACGCATGTTCAACCTTTGGAGGGTGTCGGTGTCTGCGATAGCGTGGATATTCGCCGTGCTGCTTGTGGTGGTTGTGCTTTGGATCGCCCGTCCGCTTGAGCGCAACAGCCTGCAGCTGCAGTCCAATAATGACAGCGATGAAAAGGCCGAGTTTAAAGCCCGAGACAAAGTCGTCCAAGACGAAGAAGACGACGATGACCTGCCACTGGTTGTAAACCGTGGCCGGTCGAACAAGGACGAATAGGAACTCATTGCTGTAATGTTGAGTACTGCTTCAGAGATGAATACTCTGCCGACTCGATACCATACATGCCACTCAATTGGGTGTGTCCCATCCTACAGATTCAACTCAAGATTCGCTTATCGAACAGTCTCCATTCCACCCCCTCGGAATCATGCCAAGCGCAGAGATCCACCGTCGCATCGACTCGCTCGATTCGCGTCTGTCGTGGTTCTACGTCCGTCTCCTCCTCGTCACGGGCGTCAGCTGGGCCGTGCACTCGGCGGAGCTCGTGCTCTTCCTCTTCACGCGTCGACTCGTGGCTCGCAATGTCGGAATGGGCACCCGCGCACTCGAAGCGTTGGGCGTCGGCATCTTCGTGGGGGCGGCACTGGGCGGGCCACTGTTCGGTCGCATCGCAGACGCTCGTGGCCGACGTTGGGCGTTGTTGCTGTCGATGAGTCTGTCACTGCTAGGGTTGGCGATGTCCGCCATGGCGACCAAGCACTACCACGTGATCATCGCTCGAGTGGTGGCAGGTGTCGGCCTGGGCGGGGAGCTGCCGGCCGCTACTGTTTTGGTGCAGGAGCTGAGTCCGAGACCCATGCAAGGCCGAATGGTGGCTCTGCTTGAGGCTTTCACAGGCGTGGGAGGCGTCGTGGGCGTGGCGTTAGCCTTCGGGTTGGCGCCACAAATCGGATGGAGAGTCACGTACTTGGGTATCTGCGGCTTGGTGCTGTACGTGGGCGTACTGCGATTTGGTCTCCCGGAATCTCCACGATGGTTGGCGAGTGTGGGGAGAGTGGACGAAGCTCTGGCGGTTGTGGAGAAGCTGGAGGAAGCGCATGGACATCGACCGCTATACAAGAAACTCACTGGAGTTGATGACCCGATGACAACGAGAGCTTCTCCGGCAAAAGTGCTGTCTTTGGTTAATCCATCGGTGCATACACTCGTGCTGTGGATACTATGGAGCGTCATGGTGCTGTCAGCATACGCTCTAGGGGTGTACATGCCTACACTCATCAGTTTATGGGGATTCAACGTGTTCTCGAGATGGAGCACGATGGCGTTAATTGGCGTGGCTCAAGTGGCTGGGTGTGTATTCGCGTCGCTTGTACTGGATGAATTCGATCGCAAGCAGGCACTGGCTGCTTTCGCTACTTCAGCTGCGGTGGTAGCGGTCTTGACAAGTCAAACACCGTGGAATGGCCCATTTGTGGTCGTGGGCACGAGCGCAGTATCAGCTCTCATCGCTGCAAGCTGGAGTTGCGTGCTGGCCTATGCCCCCGGGAATTTTGCGACGGAGTGTCGCGGTCGTGGAGTTGGATACGCGTTTGGCTTTAGTCGACTAGGCGCTACCATCGGGGCTTTGCTGTGTCCTTACATGTTCAACGTGTGGAAGATGCCGGTGAGTGCGATCGCTTGGGTTTTCGCCGTAATACTGGTGGGAGTAGTTTATGGGGTCGTTCTCCCTTATGGACGCAGCGATTTGGCACGAGAAGATGAAGATAACCTGGACTCGCAGAGATCTTACTTGTTCGGCTCTGCACCAGATGAAGAAGACATCCCTCTTGTCCCGGGTTACAGCTCCAAGACAGCGACCTATAACGTATAACTCTGGCTACTGCCAACACGCTTTTCGCTAAGCTCCAAGGTTCTTACCAGAGCCTGGAGGCCGTTCCATGCGGCTCCGCAAGATTTCTTGATAAAGACGCATGAGTACGGCTAATTGGGACTAGAAAACTGAGAGCTGGCGAGTTTGCTTCCAAGTGAGGAACAATCAGGTGAGGGGGGGGGGGGTATCTAGCAAAAGTTCCATCACCGTGAACGAGACCGTAGTTTTATTGTCATTTGCCTTGCTCGCAAAGCAGTGCGCACGCTCGGAACGCGCAGCTCAAGGGCGAGCTTGTACTTCAGTTGCATCGAATATTCACTTAACCCGACCTGTTGACTCGTAATGCGACGCAGTCTTCGATCCATCCCGGGCCCGGATTCCCTGTCTCGCCATAATGGAATGCCATCTTCGTCAAATCTTCCTTCCCCGAGACGTTCCTGCATCACACGCGCTCTTCGGGTGCAGTGATGGTTTTGACTGCTTGCGTTGACGATGGTAGGCAGCTCGGGCGGCACAACAGGGGTATCATTTCATAATGGTTCGAGCTGCAGACACCGGCATGACCCATGGACGCCGGTGGCAATGCGTCCGGGGCCAATAGGAAACACAGTACGTGCGCAGCAAAGTGACCGAGCTGTCTGGAAAGAGGCTGGCGCTTTACTGCTCGATCGAGACCGCGTCACCCAATGGCGCATCCTTAGGAAGTCGTCACGTCCGAGGCTCGGAGACTGGTTGCAGCACTTCTTCAAGGGGCCATGTATCCTCTCCATGACGTCTGTGTAGTTGACGTGAGTAGGATCATGGTCTGTAGACCCGTCGGCTTTGATTCTGTCCAGCGAAGCTAAGTGGCAGTGCAAGTAGGCCGCATTGGACGTTGCGTGGCTTTGCGATCTCTGGTGTTAACCGGCCGTCGCGTGGTAAGGCGATCGAAAAGGATCCGAGATTAAACGGCACCGCATTTTGCGTCGGCACCACCGCCGGACGAGGCCACCAAAGAAGAGCTAAATGTAGCGTCCTCTGCATTGTCACGAGAGGAAATGGCGTGCGGGCTGCTTTCAATGGCCAAGTGATGCAAGTACTTACGTCTGGAGAGCTAGCAGAGAAGTCATTGAGCGACAGCCCCAATAGTGGAAGCGAGTTGCACTGCAACCGTTGCAGTGCAACGTCGATTGCCTGATGCGTTGAATAAGTCGGGCGCTAATTTTGCGGGACCCCGCAATAGGCTCTTACAATCGAGGTAGATCTCACTCTGAGCGGGGCTCCTCTCCGCATGAATCAAGTGGCGGTACAACACCAGCAAGCTCGCCCTCCCGCAAGTTCAACCGAGCCTTGGCCCTTTGAGCGACCGATGGACGCCAACCGCCAGTGCACTGGCAGTTTGCCTTCAACGGCGTGTGCTGGCTGGTGCTCCAGCGCAGCAAAACTCCAAGTGCCGCGCCGCAGACGATGGCAAGCGAGAGATTCCTGAAGCAGTAGTGTGCAAATGCTGCAGCGACTAGCAAAGCCCCTTTCGACTCACGAAGTGATCTGTGGCGGGGGTTCTAAGCACACCTCGCCCCATCCTCCTTCTCGTCTTTTGATCGCTTGTACCCGTAGGGAACTTCAGCCAAGCGGCGGATGAGTCGCAACCCCCACGCGGACCAACAACTTGTTCGCCTCGATCACAATGGGCTATTGTCATGCGTGGGTTATCCTCACGTCTTAATGCCGGCGATAGGCCGCATTACCGCCGTGGTAAGCGTACACTCACGATCTGCCCGATTAAAGTCGCCGATACATTTTGCACGCCGACATGCTCCAAGTTCGAGCCAACCGCCCGTTGAAAGGCTCGATCTTGTTTGGCGAGAGGGGGTCGAGGGAAAATAAATCAAGTGGCGGCCACATCAGCTAACTTATCCAGCTGAGCTGTGAGTCCCCGACAAAATGCAGGTTCGGCGCGCGCAGCTTCAAGCAAGCTGTCACGACAACTTCAATTCGCAGACCAATCCGTCCGAGGGGTCCTCTGTGGTATTTAATCTTCGTCAACACTGGCATGATGATCGTCTAGCAGTCTTTTACTGTCTGCAGCCTTCACCTTTTGAGCTCGGCCCAGCTGAGCCCACTCGCTCTGCTCTTCATTCGCCAACTTTCTCCGCCTCAAGCAAGTGCAGTGCATCCGAGCTCACGTCCTTCGTGGCACAACCAACCGACCGACCATGAGCACCCAAGACGACGGCGTCCCGACCGAGGGCTCGCGCAAGTACGCCATTATCGTGTGCGTGTTCGCCGCGCTGGGCGGCCTCTTCTTCGGCTACGACCAGGGCGTGACCTCGGGCGTGCTCATCATGGACTCGTTCATCAAGGACTACTGCGTCGGCTGGCACAACTTCACGTACGAGCAGTGCATCGCCTCCACGTCCGCGCTCCCCAGCGAGTGGACGGACTTCACCGTCTGGTACAACATGGCGTACAACCTGGGCTGCCTCGGTGGCGCCTTCGTCGGCGGCTTCGTGGCCGACAAGCTCGGCCGTCGGGCCACCATCTTCTGCGCCGGCCTGCTCTTCTGCATCGGCACGTCGTGGGTCACCTTCAACAAGGCCGGCGAGCACGGCCTCATGTACATCGCGCGCGTGATCCAGGGCTTCGGCGTGGGCAACTCGTCCTTCTCGCTGCCGCTGTTCGGCGCCGAGATGGCCCCCAAGGAGCTGCGCGGCCTGCTCTCGGGCTTCATGCAGATGACGGTCGTCATCGGCCTCTTCCTGGCCAACGTCATGAACGTTATTGTGCAGGACCACAACCGCGGCTGGCGTACCACCAACGGTGTGGCCATGGCGGCGCCGATCGTGGTCATGCTCGGCATCTTCTTCGTGCCCGAGAGTCCTCGCTGGACCTACATGCACAAGGGCAAGGACGAAGCCGAGAAGATCCTCAAGCGCCTTCGTATGACGGACAACGTGGGCCACGAGCTCCAGGCCATCGGCGACCAGGTCGAGGAGGAGCTGTCCGCCAACAAGGGACTTATGGAGCTGCTCGAGCCGTCCATCCGCAAGCGTGTGATCATCGCCATGCTGCTCCAGGTGCTGCAGCAGGCCACAGGCATCAACCCCATCTTCAGCTACGGCGCGCTCATCTTCAAGGACATCACCAACGCTGGCATCTACGCGGCCTTCTTCCTCTCGGGCGTCAACTTCCTGAGCACCATCCCGGCCATGCGCTGGGTGGACACTACGGGCCGTCGTAAGCTTCTGCTCATCGGCGCTGTGGGCATGGTCGTCGGCCACCTGTTCGCTGCCATCCTGTTCACGGTTATCTGCGACGGCAACGTGGACAACGCGGGTTGCCCCAAGGTGGGCGGCTGGTTCATCGCCGTGGGCACGGCCTTCTTCGTGTTCAACTTCGCCATCTCGTGGGGGCCCGTGTGCTGGATCTACCCGGCCGAGATCTTCCCGTTGAGCATGCGCGCTACGGGCGTGACGCTCTCGACTGCGGCCAACTGGGCCATGGGCGCCGTCATGACGGAGGTGGTCAAGCTCTTCCCGCACCTCAACATCAACGGCGTGTTCTTCCTGTTCGCGGGTCTGTGCTGCATCTGCGGCGTGTTCGTGTACTTCTTCTGCCCGGAGACCAAGGGCATCTTGCTCGAGGACATCGAGGCGCTGTTCGACAAGGGCCACGCCAAGTCGCCCCACTTCGTCGAGGTCAAGTCCCCCATCGAGAATGCTTAAGTGCATCCAAGTGAAGCAACAAGCGCACCTCCAACTTGCAGAGCTGTTGTAGTTGAAGACAGTCATGTTAATCCTTCCTTTGTTTCCACAACATGTAAATGAAGTTGATTTCTCCTAATACCTGTTGTTTCCGAGATAGCTTACACCATCGTGATCTCTCCCTCAATACAAGATGGAGAGAGATATGGCCACTTGCTGGTGATTTTAGGCCGACGCACAGAACTAAAAAGCACATGACGCCGGTTCGACAACTACATGGAGTAAAGTAAATTGATCGGAGCAACACGATTTCTGCCGACCCGGAGAAATGTCGATATTCCTGCAGACACTCACTGAAGACATTGAGACGATAAAGCTCTACGTTATCTCGTGTCAACCATCCAAAACACCTGATAGGTGGTCGTCGTCTTCAACTTCCTGCCCCGATATTTTAACCAATCAAACCGAGTGGTGCTGTCTAGCAAAACGGATCCGTACACCTTCCAGATGGGTCCACTCTTCCTTACCAGAGACCCTGCAATCGTTGCTCTGTGGCTCACAGTGTGGGGCCGGGGTGGCTTCACAACTTGTCCCTCCATTTCCCACCGCCTGCGCCGCACAGGCTGTGCGTGTCAAGCACCAAAGTTGGTGGTCCATTTCTCCTTTCGGCTCTGCAGACACACCACCAAAACTCGGGAAGACTTGCTCCAGCTTAGATGAAGATCGTGACGCAACTCCCCACCGACAAGCGCGACGCCGCTGTGGCCGCTGCTGCGGTCGTGACGCTCGGTCTGCTGGTCTCGTACCTGTCGAGGCCCAAGGACAAGGGGAACAAGCCGAAGCGCAAGATGGCGCACGTGCCCAAGTCCACGCTGCCGCTGCTGGGCAACATGCTGGACATGTCCACGAACATGCCGCGCTTCCACGACTGGATCAGCGAGTAGTGCGCCGAGTTCGACAACGAGCCGTGGACGCTGCAGATCCCCGGCAAGGAGCCGTGGATCGTGCTGTCCTCTGCGGAACTGTTTGAGGACGTTTCTGAAGACGCAGGCGGACAACTTTCTGCGGGGCCCGGTGAGTCATCATCAGGCGTACGACGTTTTCGGTAACGGTCTGTCCATCTCAGATGGCGACGCGTGGTTCTACCAGCGCAAGACGGCCAGTCACTTGTTCTCCATGCAGATAATGAAGACGGTCATGGAGGACTCTGTGCGCGAGAAGTTGGACGTCTTTCTGGACGTCCTCGGCAAGTACGCGGCGCGTGGCAAACCGTTTGGTATCAAAAAATGGCTGAGTCACTTCACCATGGACGTGTTCTCCAAGATCGGCTTTGGCGTGGAGCTGGACACTCTGAAGAACACCTTTGACCAGGAGGGAGATCACGAGTTCCTCGAGGCCTTCAACGTGGCGTCTGTGGCTTTTGGAGTGCGGATCCAGACGCCCACGTGGCTCTGGGAGCTCAAGAAATTCTTGAACGTCGGCTGGGAGAAGATTATCATGGACAACTGCAAGAAGTTCCACGACTTCATCGACAGCTTCGTCCTCAAGGCCATGGTCGAGAGAGGCCAGAACAAGGTGGCGCGCGATCTCATCTCGCTCTTCCTCGATAGCTCCATCGACACGTCGGAGCTGCAGATCGAGGAGGACGAAGCCACTATCATGCGCGATATGGTCACCACGTTCATCTTCGCGGGTAAGGACTCGTCCGCTCACAGTCTGGGCTGGTTCATCGTCAACATGAACCGCTATCCGGAGATCCTGCGCAAGATCCGCGAGGAGATAAAGGAGAAGCTGCCGGGTCTGCTCACGGGCGAGATCCAGGTGCCGACGGCTGCTCAGCTCCAGGAACTCGTGTACCTTGAGGCCGTCATCCGTGAAAACATCCGTCTGCACCCGTCCACGGGCTTCATTATGCGTCAGGCGACAGAGGCCACGACGCTCGTTGATGGCACGTTCGTGGACAAGGAAGTCTCGGTGCTGTTGCCCTCGTACGCCAACGCGCGCAACCCGAGGACGTGGGGCGAAGACGCATCGGAGTTTAAGCCCGAACGCTTCATTGATGCTGACACCGGCAAGATCCGCAATTTCTCGCCCTTCGTCTTTAGCAGCTTCGGCTCCGGCCCGCACATCTGCTTGGGCATGAAGCTTGCTTTGATGGAGGTGAAGCTGACGCTGGCCACGCTGCTCAGCAAGTTCGACTTCAAGACTGTGGAGGACCCGTGGCAGATGACGTACGATTTCTCGCTCACGATCCCCGTCAAGCGCCCGATGGAGGTCGAGGTCACTCCGCTTGTGACCCCCTACGCAGATTCGGCGTAGACTTCCACCAATTTGTTAATGTTGAAAGCGTAGTGCTTGCCGAAGCGAATATGAAGAACTGGTGGCAACTGCTTGGCCATAACTTAGGTGCCCGCATTCAGATTCATTATACTGTCGTTGCCGTGCTGCTTACCATTAAAAAAAGCTCGCAAGAATCTTGTTGACTTCGTCGTGGTAGGGCAAAACCTTAATCCTCAAGATGTCGTACCACATGAGCATCTCATAGGAAGAGTCAACTTCGTCTTCATCAAACCGTGGTCGTCGACAGAGCCTCGCCGAAGACGAAGTTGACCACTTACCATAATTGCCCCATTTGATCGAAAAAGAGGTTCCTACACCCTCACTCTTGGTGACTATTGGTATGCTATTATTTGATAGATTTCTACGCAGAACATCGATACGAGTGTCAATTAAGCTCGCTGAGGGTCAAGTCGGCGGAAGCTTGAGCGAGGATAGCTTCCATGTCCTTCTTGATCAAGCGTAATTCGTACGCAATGACAGCTGCAGCTGGCCGTTGTGCCTGGTCTTCGACAAGACATCGCTCGACCAAGTCCTTCAGTGCCGGGCTGCAATCTGACCCCACCTGTGGGTGCAGTTTGCCCGTTGCGACGCGATGCAAGATCGTCATATCCGACAGAATCTTCCCGTTCGACCCACGCGCGTTGCTGTACGGGATCTTGTTGGTGTCCAGCTCCGTCAGCAGTGCACCAAAACTATAGATGTCAGCAGCAGAGCCATAGTCCGTGTCACCTCGAATCACCTCAGGCGCTAGCCATCGACCGGTACCAACACCACCCGTCATAGTATTTTCGACTGATCGGAAGCGTGAAGCCCCAAAGTCGCTCAACTTTGCCTTGAAATCCGATGAGAGCAATACGTTCTTGGACTTGAGATCGCGGTGGACAAGCGGGGGCACAAACGAGTGCAAATACACCAACGCTTCGATGACTCCAATGGCAATGTTGAACTTCTTGTTTGTCCAACCGACGGGGGTATTCGGACTCGAGAGATAGCGACGGAGATCGCCTCCTTCCATGTACTCGAGCAGCATCTGCAGATCACTCTCGATCGTCCACGCTGCACCGACGAAGTTGACGAGATTCGGGTGATCGAAGTTGGCGACGAGCTTGATTTCCTCGATGAACATGATTGTATGTTTCTTCGTCCGTCTTTCCGGTCGGAGTCTTTTTGATGCCAGCAACTGCGAATCCCGGTAGCGCACAAGCCACACCATAGCAAATGCCCCATTCCCCAGTTGCTTGAGGTCTTTGACGTCTGCTGCGCGCACTTGCAACGATAGAAGATCCGGGTCGTTCCAGATCGACATGAAGCGGGCAGGTTTTCGTTCTGCTGCCGCCACGGTCGGCATGGACGAAGGGTAGGCTGAACTGCCCTGGACAGACGTCGGAACGCCCATACTACCATCCACGGACGTTGGGATGCCCACACTACCATCTATCGACGTCGGAATGCCCATGCTTTCGTCGTCGCCGCCTCCCACCGTTTGGTTCGCCATCGAAAACTCCGTCGAGGTCATCGGGATGTCCATGGCATACACGGCTGAGGTCCGCAGGTCTCCATAGTGTTGCTGTTGAAGCACAAGGTCGCTGTCGATCGAGGGGAAGCGCGTCCCGCTGAATTCGAAGGATTCACCGAGCTTCTGCTGTGCAGCATTCTTCTGCTTCCGTCGGTAAATAACGAAGAGGAAGATGGCAAATAGAACCACCAAGGCTCCACAGACAATTCCCACGATCATACTCGTTGAAGAGGACGAGTCAGATGAGCTGGTAGTCGTCGTCTCGGATCCATTACTATCGGTTGAGCTTGACGCAGTGCTGGTGCCGCTGGTCGTATCACTTTTCGTTGTGCTCGTGGCATCGGCGCTAGTGTCGGTCGACGACGCCGTCACTCCAGACCCAAGACACACTGTCACTTCGTGAATGGCGACTTGTTCGCTGTCGTCGCACTCGAGGTCCACAGTGAAGTCGGAAGCAGACAGATACAACGTCTCTAAATCATTCAAGAAGTCTGCCTGCTCGCGCGTGAACTCTCGGACGGAGAAGGGGTTGCCAGTCAGATTTCTGCGTTATTTAACAACACAAAGTGAGGAGTTCAACATGAGCTCCAGACGACGGAGTAATAGTCAACGTACAGTGTCTTCAGATACGAATGCTTGTAAACGGCGGTGGGGACGCTTGTGAGGTTGTTGTCACCTAGAAATCTGTACACCCAGAGAGAGAAAATAAAACTGTGAGCTGCCCCGCAGGAACATATTAGCTGGCAAACTTTCAATGCGTACAGGTATTCTAGATTGGGGAAGACGCCTGTAAAAGCTTTGATGCTGTTGCCCTCTAGACTCCTGAAGTATCACAACAGGCAAGCTTTGTCAGTCGAAAGATATCGGAGTGAAATCGGCCAAATTGCAAGCACCTACAGCGTAGTCAGCGAGTCGATCACGTCCAACGTATCTACAGACGTGATGTAGTTGTAGTCCAAGAGCCTATAACCCCCCCCCCAACACAGAACGATTAGCGGTCTCCAAAGCAAACAAACTGATGCGATGTATCTTACAGCTGCTGGAGCGATTTCAGGCCCCCAAGCTCTGCTGGGAACGTCTCGATCAGCGTGTTGGTAAGCTCGAGGTTTGTGACAGTGGACGGCAGTAACCTCGCCAAGTCGTCCGCCTGGTCCGACAAGGCGAGGTTCTGCAACACCACTCTCGTCACCGTGGCAGCAGACGAAATAAAGTCCGACGTCAACGTAACACTCGCCACTTTCCCCTGCGGATAATTCATCGCAGCAGTTCCTCCCGACATAATGCTAAGTACCACAAGCCAAAACATACAAATCCATAAGGGTAAGTTCTAATTCCTCACCGAAACATACTCAATAGGATGAACGTACAAGGTCTCGACTGAATCAGACAGTGTGATCGTCCCAACCGCAGTGACATCGTCGTTACTAGCCGATGGCCACGTATCCGTGAAGTCCGGGTAGCCTGAGACGGAGAACCCCCCTGCCGCCGTCTCCTGGGCGCTTCGGAACCCGCCGAAGTCAATGAGCACGTCCAGCGTCGTCAAGTTCCCGTCGACGCTCATGCAGTCATAGGTGCAGTCTCCGTCCGTCTCGCAGCCTGAGCCGGAGCATGCGCTCTTCGACGTGTAACCGAGACACAAGTCGTAGCCCCCACAGCCCGAACACCCCTCGGTCGTGAGTGTCGACGACCCAGATGCACACCCGGCGCTGCTCACGAGGCTCGGACTGGCAATCAGCACCAGCCCCAGCGCCAATAGACACCGACCGCCTGCTGCCATTCTCCCCACACAAAGTGAGACTGCCGCGTCGCCCGAGGGGTCAAAGTGTCAATGCAGAGGAGCGACGAGGCTAAAGCTTGCATATCGACGATAGAGACGCGATACCAGCGCCAAATCCTTGACGCAAAACAAGCTGGACCCCCATCAAGCTGGCCACTGGGAACGACTTAATGCCACTGACACCAGCTGATCGATACAGAAAGATGAATGTAAAAGTTCCTCGAGATCCTTACGCGACGATGGGGTGTGCCTGTGACTCTGCACTGCCGAGTCTGCAGTCACAATACGAAAAGGATGGTTGTGTGTCTGCATAGGTCACTCGACGAAGAAGTGGAAAGCTCAGGGCACAGCAAACACTACTCGAGATCTGTTAGCGGATAGCCTTTGTTGGTATATTTTGTCTCAAGCTAACTGTACAGTAAAGCCTAAGCAGAGCCTCAAATTCTGTTGGTATTGTAATGTTCGACTTGACACTGGGGCTTTATGACGCATTTGCCCCGTGCCAAATAAATGCACCTTCCCTTCCGTAGTCTATAGAGAAGCAGCCATCTCCTTCTGCAGTACGCGCAGTTCGTACGCGATGACGGTGGCGGCAGGTCGCTTGGTCGGGTCTTCGACCAGACAGCGCTCTACCAGCGCCTTCATGGATGCATTACACGTGGATCGAACTTTCGGGTGTAGCTTGCCGGTTGCTACGCGGTGCAGGATCGTCATGTCCGAGAGGATCTTGCCGTTCGAGCCGCGCGTATTGCTGTACGGGATCTGGTTCGTGTCCAGCTCCGTGAGAAGAGCTCCGAAGCTGTAGATGTCAGCAGAGCAGCCGTAGTCCGTGTCGCCTCGGATCACCTCGGGCGCTAGCCAGCGACCAGTGCCCACGCCCGCAGTCATCGTGTTCTCCACGGATCGGAAGCGAGACGTGCCGAAGTCGCTCAACTTTGCCTTGAAATCCGATGACAGCAGCACGTTCTTGGACTTGAGGTCGCGGTGGACAAGTGGAGGAACGAACGAGTGCAGGTACACGAGCGCCTCGATGATGCCAATAGCGACGTCAAACTTCCTGAGTGACCAGCCGAAGGGAGTGCTGGCGTCCGCGAGATAGTGACGGAGGTCACCGCCGTCCATGTACTCGAGGAGGGCCTGGAGGTCGCTCTCGATTGTCCACGCTGCTCCGATGAACTTGACGAGATTCGGATGCTCAAAGTTGGCAATGAGCTTGATCTCCTCAACGAAGTTTGAGGTGTGCTTCTTGGTCCGACGCTCCGGACGGAGTCGTTTAGACGCCAACAACTGCGAGTTCCTGTATCGAACCAGCCAAACCGTGGCGAAGGCTCCGCTGCCGAGCTGTTCCAGGTCCTCAATGTCCTCCACACGGACCTGGACAGACAGGAGCTCAGGGTCGCTCCATACAGACAGAAACGTGCTTGGTTTCTTCCTCGGTACGGCATCCGCCGAAGACATTGGGTAGGTCGTAGCAGCTTCGACTGTTGTCGGGACGCCTGTACTGGCATCCTCCTCGGCTGATGCTGTTGGAATACCCATGGCCACTCCACTAGCGCTCATTGGGATCCCCAGAGGAACTCCAGTAGACGTCCTCAGTTGGCCAAATGACTGCTGTATCCGCTCACAATCGCTGGTTGTAGACGGAAAATGGTCGTCTGCGGTGCTGCTCAGCTTGGAGTCGATGAAAGTACTCTTTCTCTTCCTCCGGTAGACCACGAAGATGATGGCAGAGACGATCAGCGCTAAAATCCCACATATGATCCCTACGATCATGCTCGTCGATACAGAAGAACCCGCTGAAGAGGTAGATTGAGTGTCGGATCCATCCACGCCAGCAGAACTCGAAGCACTAGCTCGGTTATTCGATGTAGAAGCTCCATCGCTGAGGCACACCGTCATATTGTGTACTTTGACCTGATTCATGTCGTCGCAATCCAGATCCACTGCGAAGTCAGAGTCCGAGAGCACCAAGATCTCCAAGCTGCTCAGGAAATCGGCTTGGTCTCGCGTCAGGGATCGCGACTCGAAGGAATTGCCCGTCAGATTTCTGCGGCAGAACACAAAACATTAGATCCAGATCCAGCAGCAACACACAAAAAGCATGCTACGCACAATAAACTCAGGTGCGAGTGGCTAAATATTGCTGTGGGGATACTTGTCAGGTTGTTGTCTCCCAAGTATCTGCGTAACCATTACAGAATTGAGTTAGTTAGTTCATCTACCTTCAGTTTGCTTGTGAATGGTTCGCCACGTACAGGTACTCCAGGTTGGTAAATACTCCATTAAAACTCTCGATGCTGTTGCTCTCGAGGCTCCTGCGATGAAGAAAAAAGGTAAGAAAACAACTTATTAATACCAAAGTTCCATCCAGAACAGCGTACGCACAGCGTCGTAATGGAGTCAATCACATCCAGCGCGTCTACAGACGTAATGTAGTTGTAGTCCAGAATCCTAACAATTCAAAAACATTCTGTAAGCTGGTTGAATCACCGCCACGCCAATACACAATACACGCACTTACAGCTGCTGAAGAGACGTCAGGCCGCTCAGCTCAGCTGGGAAATCCGAGAGCAACGTATTGCTGAGCTCAACATACTCGACCGTAGACGGCAATAACGACGACAGCGATGCAATCTCATCGTCCAGGTCGATGTTCCCGAGCATTACTTTGGTCACAGCTGTCGCCGCCGAAATGAAGTCCGCGGTCAACGTGACACTCGCCACTTTGCCTTGCGGGTAGTTGACATCCGCACTTCCGCCCGACATGATACTGCACGCATAATATCCATCAGTCTACCATCCGAACCATTTGAGTACTAACGTCCTCAACGTACAATGTAGTGACTGCGGAGGACACGTCGATGGTGCTGACCGCAGTGACGTCGTCGTTGCTGGCTGACGGCCACTTGTCCGTGAAGTCCGGGTACCCGGCCAAGTCTGCCGTCGTGTAGCCTCCCATCGCCACTTCCTTCGAGCTCTTGTACCCGCCGAACTCGATCAGCACGACTAAAGTCGAGAGGTTGGCGTCAACGCTCATGCACTGGTAGGTGCAACCTCCATTGGTCACACAGTCGGAGCTTGTGCACTCGTCCGCGGAGCTGAACCCCAGGCATAAATCGTATTCCCCGCAGCCGGAACAACCCTCAGTTGTCAGTGTTGACGAACCGGCAGCGCAGTCAGCAGTGGCAACATTGACGGCATTGAGGAGGAGAGCCACAGTCAATACTAGCGGTAGACGCCGACCGGATGAAGTCGCCCCCATTGCCAACGACACCGAAAAGAGCGAAATGCGCAAATTCCAGGAGGTGATGAAGAGGAGGGCGGGCGAGTGGGGTTCGCCCATAGAAACGGGAGTCAAATCCTAGAGGCACTCGGCTGGATGGCACGAAGTGCTACGCCGTAGCCTACGGCGAGTAGCTGGACCTACTCAGGCGATACTCTACGCAAGATCAGCCTGGGCCACCTGGTCGCCGCGAAAGGATGGCGTGAATTTTGAAGCGAGGTTTGTACCTACGTCTGCGCTCTCTTGGCTCGCGACTTGGGTCACGTCTTGGTGTGGAGTCTCCAGAGCCATTGAGCCGCTACGATCTCTCCACCGCAGCGTGACACCGACCGAATTCAACGGAAGTCCTCTGATCCAGCCGCTATTACAGCGCGGACGCCGCCCGAAAGGCTGGTTGCAAGTTCGTGCTGCGTCCGGCTTCAGGATACGCGCAGCGAGAGCGCGATAACCTGGGCCACGTCACCAACTGTAAGCTACTGTACAGTAAGCTGGTTTTGCACATCCAGCGAGATGTGTCCGCAGTTGCAGCGTGAAGGGCTCAACTTGAGGTCCTCAAGTTGAGCCCTTCAAGTTGGGGACAAGCGCACAGAGCTGCATCGCCGTCGAGTGGAGTGAAGCCTGGTCCGGCCATCTCGCCAAGCCTGGTCTCTGGGCAGGTCGGAAAAAAGGAGACCCGCCCAGAGCCTTCACCAAAATATTGGGATGCTCGCGCCCAAGTCGCCGACCCTTTCACAGCTCAGCCATTGCTGCCACCAGCTACCTTTACGTGTACTGTTAGCTCCGTACAATACACAGAACAAGCTCGAGCATTATTGATCGTCGATCGGTTCCTACGAGAAATCAAGTGTGATTTCGAGGATAACTTAGTCTGCAGCAACTGCGTGTTGTCTGTGACTGAGTAATGGAGTGGTGGTTGAGGACTATGACTACTCGAAGAGACCCGAGGGTTTCTGAGAATGACTCCTGCATGCGTGCAGTTGTTGTGATTGGCTGAAGCCAATGTAGTCGGAAAGAGTCCACGGGGGTTTTACTGCTTGCGGAGCTTTCCCCTACAACAACACTTGAAAGAATAAACATATCTCAATTTGACCCACACCAAGCAAGTCGTTCCTGTTTTATGGTTAATCTACTTGTAACTGTGTTACTGAGGATTCCAAGGTGCTCCATGGGACTGAGAGTCTCGTAGTTCCCCGCTGGCCCTGCACAATGTTCACGTTGAAGTGCTTACGTATCCATCCGCATTTCATCCAATCCGCATCCTCCCCGCCCCTCATAGGTCAAAAGTCCTCGTTGTCTCATCTCCTTGAAGCTCGGGCGCTGGTTTAACGAGAGACCATCATCACTTTGAAATCTCCCCCAAGCATTGCAAGTCAAGTCAAGTCAAGTCAAGTCAAGTCAAGTCAAGTCACTTTGCCACTATGGGCTTCATCGCCGACCGCTTCGACCTGGAGAAGCAGGTGACGTTCTACCTGTCGTACCACGACAACAAGATGAACCAGTACATCCACCTGGCCTGCATCTGGCCCATCTTCGTGTCGGGGCTCATGATCCTCGCGCACACGCAGCCGCTGGCCGAGACGCCCTCCTTCGTGTCCTCGCTGCCCTACGGCGAGTACGCGGTGCTCAACTACTCGGCCGTCATGGCCGCCGTCTACATGGCCTGGTACGTCGCCCTGGACGTGTACGCGGGCTCGCTGGGCGCCGGCATCATCTCCGCGTGCTTCGTGGGCGCCAACTACTTCGTGGCCGAGGGCGCCAGCGCCCTGGGCGTGCACAGCATGCACGCGGCGCTCGCCGTCCACGCCACGGCCTGGATCCTGCAGTTTATTGGCCACGGCGTCTTCGAGCGCCGCAAACCGGCGCTGTTCGACAGCCTGGACCAGGCGCTGATCACCGCGCCCATGTTCGTGCTGCTGGAGATCCTCTTCCCGCTCGGATACCGCCCCGAGCTCTACCAGCGCGTCATGAAGCAGGTGCGCATCAACGTCAAGAACTTCCAGGCCACCAAGACGCTTTAACGCCCTGAGGACGGAGAAATAGGGGCCACAAGGCGGGTTTTCTCATCAAAAAATGTATGGTGTGCTTCGTGAAGTATCTACTATATATGCACGCTGATGCATTGTTGTTGTGATGTGAGTTTTAGGACGCGACGACGATCTCAGCCATCTCCGTGAGGCTCTTAGCGATGCCCTCGGCGCCGCTGACGAGGCAGTTGAGCAGCAGTAGCTCCTCCATCGACACCTTCTCGTACCGACGATCCTCCAGCAGCCACTCGACGTACGCAGTCTTCATCTGAGCAGCGATGTCGCTGGTGGAGAAGTCCTCCACGTTCAGCACGTCGTGCTCTCGGCACATGGGAGTGGACGACGCAGCGGAAGACTGAGAAGGTTTGCGGCCTCTCTCAACGGACGAAGCCTGTGACGAGCGTCGATATCCTTCATTCGAGGGCATTGGAGCCCTAGAGGTGTTCACCTTGGCGTCCAATGCATTAATCGCTTCGGCAGTGAGCGGGGCCTTCAGGTGAGTGCCGTCACTAGGGTGAATAGCTCCGGACTCACCCTCTGCGCCCTTGGGAGCGTCGCTCTCGCTCTCTTCACCATCCACACCGTCCTCGTTGATGCAAGGTAGTGCGTTCTCCCGTCTCGCTAGAAGCGCTGGAGCTTTAGGCTTTCGTCGGGTGTACACTTCAACTTCCAGCTTGAGGCCGTTCTCTAGCGCCTCCATAAACTCCTCGAACGAGACTTTGCCGCTTCGGTCCTTATCCACGACGCGCATGAACTCCTCGACGTACTTGTGGATCTCACCTTGCTTCACAGCTCCAGACTGGGTGAAGATGGTCTCCAACATGTCCGCGACCTCATCGGCGTCGATCTCGCCGCTGCAGTCTTTGTCAGCGAGACGGAAGGCCTCCTTCATCTGCATGAAGATGGCGGTTTGGTCCGGGTCCGAGTACAGGAAGGCGTCGCCGAACAGCATCTCCAGTGTGTTGAACGAGTCCTTCGCCGCGGTCTGGAATTGGCTGGCTGCGGCCTGCCACTTTGCATGGATGCTCCTGTCCGACGAAGGCCTCGCAGCAGTGAGGCTGTCTCGGATGTCGATGCTGTTGAGGTGAACTCGGTTGTGTTCAACACGGTAGTTGAACCAGCGCAGGAGCTTGTAGAGGAGCGTGTTGTTGTTCAGCAGCCGACGCGAGCTCTCGAGAACCTTCTCGTACTTCCGGACCGAGAACACCGGACGCCATAGCAGCGGCTCCGCTTGTGCCTCTCGTAGCAGAGTGATCTGAGCCAAATGCTTCGCAGGGATCTTCACCTGCAGGATCTCGCGCAAGTGCTCCATTGTATCGGCGTCCATGGTGCTGGAGCTGCTCAAGTGGTGACCGAATAGGACTTCGAATGCCTCCAGCTGCAGCTTGAGCGTCTTCTGGATGTTTCGTCGCAGCAAGTTGGTGGCGCTCTTGGGACACAGTAGCAGCTCCACGAGAATGAAGAGTACAATACCCACAGAAGTTTGAGCGAGACTCGAGTACGAGCTGATCGCGATGGAGGAAGCGTTGTCCGCAGCATTTGAGTAACACAAGTCCGACTGACGCATCAAAATGCCCGTCGACACGAAGGCCGAGACCAAGCCAGCGTACGAACTGTAGCCGCCCACGTAGCACACGTACATCGAGATGGCGATCCACACGAACAACACGATGTCCGAAAGCACGACGTTGAGATACTGCGGGTCGCAGATCTGAGCAATGAAGAACTGGAAGACCGAAGGCACCACACTGCCGGCCACGACGCCGCCAACTCGATTCACTGTCGCGCTGAAGCTCCCTCCCAGGTAGTTTCCAAGCACATACGCAACCGTGCTAGGGACAGTGGCGTTGAAGCCGTAGACGTATACGGACAGGAAGATACCCAGCACAATGGCAATGGATCCCCGCATCGCTGAAAGCATAGCGTGGCTATCGGTGTAGTGCTTGGGCTGGAAGAATTTCCTGATCGAGGCCAAGATGAACGACCGGATTCGGTGCGCATCCGTGTAGTTCTTCTTGTTGTGGATATCCTGGAAGTCGATCATCGTGCTGCAGAAGGAGTTGAGCGAGAACAGGAAGAGATTGAGTGGCACATTGCCTGCCATTTCTTCCAGCGTGACTGGATGCGTGCGCAGCGTGCGGTTCTGTGTGGAGCGGTACCGGTGGAGCGTTGTCTCCATCTGCGCCTCTAGCCGGGGAATCGACTGAAGCTTTACCTCTGCAATTGGTCACACTATGGATTAGTTCAACGCGCGGATCACTATTCATTGTTGTTGGTGACTTACCACGGGAGGCTGACTGCACTTCACGCGCAATCTCATTGAGTAGATCACCGGAGCGCGTCTGGATAACGTAGATCTCACGCTGGAGCACCTTCATGTACGTGAAGTGGAGGTGCTCGTATTTCTCGAGCTGCATGGCATAGCTGAGCGTGCGCAGATCCGAGATCAGCGACCCGACCAGCTTCACGTAGTTGAACATGATGGGTCGGTGGAATCGCAGCGTGTAGTGGAAGCCAAAGGACTGCTCCCACCACGCATCTGTTAGCAAAGCGTTCATACGGCGGTGGCGGCCTGCGGCGGCGTCGAACTTGCGCTGGAGCTTGAGTTTCAGGAAGTTCATGTGGTCCATGTTCTTGTTCTTGAAGCAGTACGAGTCCACGATGATGTTCAGCAAGTCGAGAATGTCCTCAGCTGCGCCCTTGGTTTCCTTGCGCAGTCGATTAATCGCACTGCATTTCAAGTAGCAACACCGTCAGCTTGCAAGGCTTCGCAAAACATTGCCCAAGTCCAGAGATGCTTACAAGATTGGGTAGGGAACGAACATGATGCCGAGCGAAACGAGCGAGCCAACGATGCCCACTAAGAAGTACACTTCCAGGTTGCGCAAGATATTGGCTGTGTCAAAACTCGAGTCATCGGACGTTTTGAGCCCCGAGCCGACAGGGTTTGCCGGGTTAATGATCGTAAGAACTGACAAAAGTGACAAGATTAGTTAGAATTCCGATCAACAGAACCACTAATTCAAAGGCAAGACTTACTGAAGTAGAGGTTGTTGGCCACTGCAAACTTCTTGGTTGTCGCGGCGAACGGACAAACGAGGACCACCACTGTGAAGATTATCATCCAGGGCAGCGTCGTGTAAAAGTTGTGAAGATTCACCCAGTAGGTGCTGGATGAAAACGCCTGCTTGATCTCGATGTAGCCTTCGTACGGATCCTCGGCGTTTATGTCTTGGGTGTGAACGTCCATGCAGGCAAAAATCACGATACTGTAGACCAGTGCCATGCCCACACCAAGGAAGGCTTGCCAAGCGATCATGAGCGTGCTGCCGATGTTCTTCCCCGTCGTGAACAGAACAGCAATGGCGCAGTAGCTCAAACCGCCGAGATAGTACCACGAAGGGAACAACACCCACTTTTTGCCCTCATCCGAAGGATCGTAGTCGGACACTCGAGTCTGGATGCAGGAAGCAATCAAAACTCCACAGGCGACTCGAAGTGACATTTGAGTGTTGAACCGGAACTCCGCTGTGAGAGAGAGTCCAAAAGGTTAGCTCCTTCTGAGTCCGAATTATTGGTGCAGTACATACTACAAATGCAAGCCTTACATGAAAAGCGCTGCTGCTCCAACGAGGACTTGCGGCCTCCTTCGAAGTCGATTCGTAGCTTGGCTGCCTTGTCGGCGAAGTCGTCGCTACAGACACTACCAGCAGTTCCTTTACGCTGAGGTCGACGTACGAGGGAGTTCGACCCGCGGTGGCTTGCGCTCTCATGGTCGGATGCATCTCCACCAGAGTGCAATGGCACCGTCAAGTCACTGCAAATAAACTGTTAGTGCATGCATGCTGAGGCTGTGTTCTGGCCGAAAGAGCCATACCTGTTAGCGGTATTTCGCGGTTGAAGTCGACCCACCATCGTCTTCAGACAGCGATTGGTTTTACCACCCCTTCTCTCCCCGTGCCAACAAAGGCTTCTCCTACTCTGCTAGAAACTTGTGAACTGGAAGCGCTTTCGCCGCTAGAGCGGACTCCCAGGCCAGGCGAGTAGCCAGTGGTCGTTTCAATATTCGCCTGAAGGTTTCGCGAGCGCAGGCGTCAGGAAACGAAATCGCAACGAGCCCCACACACTCATACGCCGCAACATGAGGGCCCTCCATTCATCCGCTAGAAGCCTGCAGGGTCCGTTGGTCACTTGAAGGTTTCCAGCGCAATCGGTCCGGCTGCAAAGTCGACGCAATATTTCGCGCCGCAAATAGGCGCAACGGCCACACAACGCATTACTTCTTCTGCATGGGTGCGCAGGGGGTTTCTCGACTAGCGTTACGGCAACGAATGCACCTTGAACACTGTTGAAGCACACACACTGTGCCGGTGCTACAGCAACGGGCGTTGCCGTTGAAGGTGTGCCCCCCCCCCCCGTGTGTGGCGGCTGGGTGCTGCCGACACAAAGAAGCTGGCGATATCATCATTCATTTTTTTTTAAAAAATGGAAAACACTTGTGCCAAGAAGGAGGGATACAATACCGCACAGTGGAGTTATTTTTCTCCCTGTACTCCACAAATATCAGTAATCGGCATGGAGACCTAAGGCAAAGTAGGAATTTTGTTTGAAATCCGCGAAAGAAATCTATACCTTTTTTACTATGCGTGTCAGTAGGCAAAATGCTTACGTGGTGGATGCCGGATGCTACACAGCCCCCTTGATAGAGCCATTTACGGCAATTTTTCAAGCTCCTCGAAAACGTCCTTCTGATTCTTGTAGTACGCTTTGTACTGCCTCGCAATTGAAGCCTCCTGTTTGGTGTACTTGGTGCTGAATACCGCCCCGACGATCTTCTTTGGCTTGTATCCGATCTCCATCCAACGGTCGAACTGGAACCCCTGCAACTGCAATGCCATCGTTTTCGCACCCTTGATTTTTTTCGCAGCTTCGAGGGCCCGAGCCACGATGGCGTCATCGTATTTGGTCGACGTTATGATAGTGTTCATCAGCGTCGTTTGCTGCCGGGGATTGTTGTGGTTCCACACATTCACGTAATCCACTAGTATTCCCAGAGCCGGGTTGGTAGCGCATCCTCGTCGAGCTTTAGCACCTTGAGTAGCTCAGCCGGGGATTCGTTCGCAGAGGACCACCTCCGAATAAGCTCTTTTCTTAATGAGTTCGCCAACGACTCCGTACTGGCATACCTCGCTCCACGCCCAATAATCTTTGCGGCAGTGGCTTGATCGTAGTTCCAAATCAACGTTTCAAATATCGAGACTTTGTTCTCTGGTTTGAGCTTGTTCATCTTCTCCACATCGGCCACCCACTCCTTCATGATCGGATTGGCGAGGAGATCTTCCACTCCATCGTCCAGCTTCAGTACCTTGAACACTTCGTCTGCGTGCTTACTCAAATCAACAGCTCCCCTCTCCTCGCTGTCTTCATCGTCGAGCTCATCCGCTGTGTCGATACCCCTCAGTCTTCTGTTGGCGGCTGCGCCAACTTCATCTCTCTCCCCCACAGTCGTGGACATCGACGTAGCATCCGCGCTACATACAGCAATAGCAGCGGCAGCAGCGAATAGCAGAACGCAACGAAGCCTCATGGCGAGTTGGTCTGCCGCGAAAACTTGAGATGTGGCGGCTAGGATGCAAATTGCAAAGTGAACTGCTCTGAGGTTTGAGCAAAAGCCTCTTTCATGCCGAGATGAATCCCTTGAGTCTACGGAATCCGTAGTACGGATGTAGGGAACGTGTTGTTGTGACTTGTGACGCACCGGATGCTTATCACTGGAAGGGGAATGACTTTGCTCTTGCATGAGACGGAAACCATGGGCATCCAAGTCGAGTTATCTGGTATCGTCTTGCTGCGCTATACTAATACTAGTGTACACTACTGTATTATACGTATGTGTTGGTTCTGGTGCAGCGGCTGTTACGGACAGCACGCACAATACCTCTCCTCCATCCCAGAGCGATTTGGCCAGTCGGTGTGCGTGGTGGCCACTGGTGCTAAGCCGACTTGAAATCCGAACGACGTATTGACTACTTCTACTTGTAACTACAGGACAACTTGTTTCGGACGAGTCCAGGACGAGTAACCTGATTCGCTGAAGAATACGATACTCTGCAGGCACCTGCAGGTTCAATGGTGGAGGAGTTTGAAAACTTGCGGCGTACGCATATGCATGCATGTATGCAGTCTCCATGATGACTATTTTAAACCGGATTATGCGTCAAGTGCACCGGAAAAGGATAATTTGTGGAAGTCACTCAAATCTAAAAGAACCGCTACAGATAGAAAGGATAAAGCAAAGGGTCCAAGCGAAAGTTATAGACTCCAAAGCGCATTTTAAAATATATATGTATATATAATAGGACTTTTGCTCCTACGTAAGGTGTCATAAAAGTTAGTACCGAGGACAGTAAAACCTGGTACAAACAAAACTGAACTGAGCGAATGGCTTGCGAAGGTAGGCCGACAAGTCAGCGCCTTCAGTACCGTTATAGCTGTAGCACATGTACGTAACTCCACGCTCAGCACGGTGACCTGGTTGCGGTGCTGCCTGAGGCTCCGCCTGTACGAGTGTGGCCGAACTAGGTATGCATTGGCCACAGATGCTTTCAGGCGCACTGGCCTAATCTAGTCCTACGAAGGACTCGTTAGCCCTACGAAGGTCCAAATGGCCAGCTTAACTTGGCCATTCGGGCCTTGTTTCCAAAAAGGTACCCTTTAGATGAAGACGGAGCTCCTACGTAGGACTTTCGTAATTCGATGCAAGACCAACAGCAAATCCTAGGTTGAGCCCTACCCCCTCCTTCTCAAGACCACCTTTTTGAGGTCAGATTGGCCAAAGTTTTGGAAAGGCACAATACGTAGGACCTCAAATCGGAGAGCGTTTTGGCAGAAAGGCACAATATTAATACACCGCATCCATTTTCTGTCCAAACTAATCGCAGGCTGTGGATGATCCACTGGATCTGTATTCGCGGATATCCGGACGGAATCGATAACAGCTCTACACGAAGATCACTTATCGTGGACGCTTGTGACTCACAGACGGCGAGTCTAGGATGGCAATACTTTGATACGTCCCTGTATTTGGAGAAAACCTCTGGAGCCTACCATAGTACCAGTGGTACCACGCCTGCGTGTACTTAGCACAATTTCGCTGTAAGCGGCAAGAGTACATGTTGTGAATGTCGTTCAAAGGCCTAACTCCCAAGCGCTAGCGTGTTAATGAAGTTTAGCGTATTTTTCACGTAAGACGATCGCGGCAGCATCGCCACACTCTTCAACAGAGGATGTTACCGACTGTAAGCTTAGTTTTGCTGACTTGAACAGTAATAATCCTCTCATATGTCATATCTACCACCTCTGATAGGCGATAATTGTGTTCCACACACCATTTCATTGCACTTCCAAGCAGTGCAAGAATGGACGAGGACGACGTCTACGCCTCCATCTTGGCGCGGGTGGGGCGCCCGGAGCTGGACAGGCAGCTGCACACAGTGCTGCGCAAAGAGTACAGGTCCATTGGGCGCCAGGTCGATCGCGTGTCGTCGTCTCTAGCCGCCGCGCGGCAGCTGCAATCGGCGGCGGAGTTCCTGAGACCGAGCGGCGACTGGCAGCCCAAGACGCTGCAGGCGCAGCTGAAGAGCATCGAACAGCTGCAGAGCAGTCTGGAGACGGCTCTGAACGAGATAGAGAGGAGGACGAAGAAGAAGAAGAAGAAGAGACAGAGGAAGCGAATTGCAGAAAGAGAAGAAGACTCGGAGCGTAAGACGAAAGCGATGGAGAAGGAGAAACTTCGGGATAGAGAAGCCATCGTTTTGGATGATGATGACGACGAGGAAGCCGATGAATTGGCCATTGTGGAGAATAATGCAAGTGCAAATGCAGAGGAGGACTCTGGAGTGGAGTTCTTGCAGGTGGTGACGCCTGCGGACAGGGCCGCGGATGTGAGGACGGGAGACGCTGAATGCGAGGAGAATGACGCTGTGACGGTTGAGAAGCGTTGCAGACCAGTCGATGTGATTGAGGTGGAAGAAGATGCTTGTGAAGTGGAGATTTTAGAGGTGGAAACGAACGACGAGGGGATAGAGGAAGGTGGTGGACTAGAGTGTGTGGGAGATGAAGGTGGTGGTGTAGAGTGTGTGGAAGATGAGGGTGCGGTATTAGAATGCAGTCCCGAAGGCAGCGACGGAAATGGAGAGACAAACGAAGAGGTAGAAGCATTGCCGAGCGGATTGATGAGAAGATCGCGCGACGAGGCCGTCCGGGTGAAGGAGGAAGTAATAGACCAGCAAGCAATTTTGAAAGTCGACCGACAAGAGGCGTGCGAGGGTGCATCAGTGGATGGATCGGAAACGGAGTCCCCGATGGAGCTGGAAGTTCCAGAGTCGTCTGAGGAGTCGGCAGTGGAGTTGGAGATGTCGGATTCAGAACAATTGGCGATGGAGTTGGAGGTGTTTGATTCCGATTCCGATAATGACGACGATTTCTCGCTGTGTCGGGAGTTGGTGGATAAACTTCAGAACGAAAGCGATGCCACCCACCAGTTGGTTGTGTTTCCACAAACTGTAGCAGTACTGCGCTCGTACCTGCTCGACCGCAAACACCTTGAAGTGGACGAATATTTATATGCGCACAAGACCTTCACTGACGGGGAGTTGACGGAAATGGGATGTGCTATCGAGACAATCGCCTCTGTGGGCATGGATCTGCCGAGACAACCACGAGTCAAGATGGCACTGAACGACTTACTTACGCTTGTTGAACAGCTTGAGCACACGCTGGGCGAGCTGCCAACATGTTTGGATCCGTACGTTTGTGTAGTTTTTTGGGCTGTTGGGGTTTCAGTTGCTGACGATGTTTCTGTTTGTTTGTGCGCAGGATTGTAGAGAAGTTGTCGAGTTATTTCTCGCTTACTGTAAAGAAGAAGTCACCTGAAGCAGAGCGGTAAACATTGAGTGTTATGTAAGCTGCTAGATAAACATACTGTACACTTGAAGTATATATGTCCAGCAGTATTGCCACTCAATTAAAGCGCAGTTGTGTCTAAGGTAACTTGCTCGGCTAAGCGTGTTGATTAGTTATGCTCGGGTTGCTTCTAAGATCTATAATACGTAACACTAGCTGTCCACGGAGTACGAGTTCCCGGGCTGCAGAAGCAGACCAGAAGACTCACCCCTCCACTTATTTGGACTTGTGTACCACCACGCGGATGTTCTTGCCGTTGAACGGGTACCCATCCATCCGCAGCGCCAGCGTCATGCCCTCCAGCGCAGCAAAGCGGACGACCGCAACACCCACCGTGCTGCCGTCAGGCATCGTAGGCATCTGCACCGACACGACCGCGCCGGCAATGCCAAAGTACGACGCCACATCGGCCTCCTTGGTCGTGCCCCACGGCAGGTCCGACACAAAGACCTCGTACGTGGCGTCACTACCCGCCGCCTCAGCCGCCGCGACAGCCGCAGCCGTGCGCTCCACCTTGACCAAAAAGTCCGAGTCGGGGGTCGTCTCCACACGCTGCCTCTTCACACGAGGCTCCTCCACCTCCACGCCGTTCTGCGACGCATACGCCGCCCGCTTCTTGGTCAACAGACCGCTTGACGTCCTAAATAATAATAAAGCATCCCGTAAATAAAAAAATATCCACATGACCAACCACGTACAATAGCCAACGCACCTGATATACTCGTCAATGTCGGCATGCACGCCCGCCAGCTTCTTGAGCACCTTGTCCATCTTCTCGAGCGTGGACTGGTTCGTCAGCGGACTCAATAACACGGCCGAGATGAGGTGGTCCAGCACCAGCACCAACTCATTGCGCAGCGCCTTGTCGGGGCCGGCAAAGGCGTCGTCGCTGATGATGCCCGCCACCGTCTCCACGTCCGCGAAGTTCTTGTCGATCCACGCGTCGCTGCGCTTGCGCGTGATGCGGTGCTGGATCTTGGCCAGCAGCTTGGCCACGCGCTCGCGGCTCTGCTGCTCGCTCTGCTTCCGCTTGTCCTGGGCCGGCTCACTGGCGTCGTCGGCGGCGGCGGGCGGCGCCTGCGCCTGCAGCTGGCGCTGCTCGTCCACGAAGCCCTTGAGGTCGGCGCTGAAGGCCGCGTACTTGCGCTTGATCTCGGCGCACGTGGCCGCGTTCTCGCGGCTCAGCGGCACGTCCAGCTTGGCCACGGCCTGCTGCACCTTGAGCGCCTGCTCCACGCTCTCCAGACACGTCTGCATGCGCGCCTGCAGGTGGCGGAGCTCGTCCTCGATGGCCGACGAGCAGTACGAGCGCAGCGCGTCGCCGCCCACGCGCGCCAGGATGCGCTCGAACCCACTCATGGTTGCTGTGCACTATGTATGACTGGAAGTGGTGGAAGTAGCGCAGGTGTACCCAGGAAAGGGTACAGTAGAAGACGCATTGTGATTGGCGGAGGGTTTGCACCAATGAGACGGAAGCTGCAGTTTAGGGGCTGGTTGAGTTCTTGGTGTTTGGTGTCGGTGTTGGGGAGGCATGACATAAACATGCAACACGGTTTGATCTGATTGGTTGAAATGATTTTCAATGGTGTTAACCGCGACACGACTCCCGGAGTCGTGTTGGGGCCAACACCAACAGAAAGGACAGGCATCCCACACAAAATTAATGGATTTCTGAAAAGCCAGAAATGGCGCGGCCGCTAGGAACGAGATCGAGTGAGCGCATGGGGCCCGGTAAACACGTAGAACGGTAGCGGGGCGGCTAGTGCAGGGGCTTCTGTACACGAGCTTGTGGTTGTTTGTCTTGTTTGGGGGCCCAGAGGTGCTGCCATCACTTCCTAAAATATCACCCGAAATACTCAGAATGAGCTGCTTTCCCAAAAACAGGGACACGGACGAGCTAACCAATCAGGTAGGGGTAGGAGGGAGTCAAAGGCACACAGTGTGCCACACACCAGACACCAAACACCAAGAACTCAACCAGCCCCTTATAGGACGGTCATGACCATCGTGTCGTGCTGCCGGTCGGTCACCTGGTGTTGTGTCTGTAGGACTGCGGCAGCGAGCACCTGCGGACACTTTGGTGCTGTGATGGAGAATAGAACGGCGAATGTAGAGACACTGATGGCACTTTGAGATAATACCTAGCAACTTGCAATAGTCTACTTAAGGCCCGTTCTCAACCGGCCGCATGCGGCCGCACCGCATCGCACAGTTTTGTACAATGCGGCTGCATGCGGCCGCATCGGTTGAGAACGCTCGTGCGGCCGCGCCCTACCCGCATGAGCTTCCAGATGACATCGGCCAATTCGAACTCAAGCATACCAAAAGCAGCAACGCGAAGTATGATGAGTTTTGCCGAAGACTCGTATTTCTCGATGCTAGCTCATACACCAACTGAAAACAATATATGAACAAGTACTTGTACGCCTGTAGTGGATTAATGCTAAATAGAACTTGTTGTGTTTCTGCATATTGCAAACATCTTCAGCAAAAACCTGGCGCAGACAACAATAAGGAAAGCGATACAAAAAGATCTACTACGCTGGTCAACCAGCAGTGTGAAGAAAAACCGTCCACCTACAGCGATATGGTGGAGCTACTCAATGAGTGGATCGTCAACTTATGCTACAGAAGCTACTTGTAAGTTAACCCCACCAGTATAATGAAGAAATATAAGTGCGTAATCTTTTGCTGCACAAAGCAAAATAGTTTCCTTTAGCGTAGAGCGCGTGTAGCTTCAAAATCGATGGCCGATTTAGAAATTTTTAACGAGTTTCCGTTTCATTACAGTTTTTGTGAGTTGCCTTGCATTCTTGCTGTTTGGTTTTAATCTACTGGTACGTCGGATACGTATTCGACATACTCACATTTTATTTTAGTGCTAAACCTCTGTTGACTCAAATAAAAAGCTCTACTGATGCCACCTAACCGTGCCTTTCGCCTCAGCACGCCTTCGCCGATATCGTGCGGGCATGGAGGTATACGTTAGCTCGCTTGAAAGCCCAAACATCATGGTTGGCTGTGGATATGGGCTGTTTGTCATCATAAATCAAGTAAAGTTAGCAAGGTCTCGAATGCATAACAACAATCATCTCCATAGGCACTACAGCCGAATTGTTTGGCCCCTATATATGGTATGCACGTGCTGGTAACTGTCGGCAGCAGTCGCAGCTTTAGTTTTTGTCTCACGGTACACGATAACATTTAACTCTCACGCACACGACTCCGTCAACCGATGCATGTTATGACTACATGCATATTGGCTGATACATAACTTCCACTCGTAGGGCGATACGCTAGTGTATGTTGATCTACGCCTGCTAAAGAGCAGGTAGACGTAGTACACGCTTCCCGGCGGTGGGGGTTCTACATCTAAAGGTAGTTTCCACTACCTGCAACATGTATCTACTTCGAAATAGATGTAACATTACACGTTCTGTACGATGCACTCAATAATAACACGAAATCGTGTACATGTAGGCCAGATAGAGTAGCGGCCCCCCTTTGTGTTGGCGTCCGCTAGCACCAGCGGCCCGAACACCTCGAGTAGAAGCTAAAATACAAGGTTGACTTCTTTGGCAGTCAAGGAGTCAAATTGACGTCTTGTCAGCTGTTGTCTGATAGGGTACTGTACCAGCAGGTGAGTCAATAAGAGCACTCTGATTGGTGCTACGGCGTGCAACCCCTACTCACTCTCGTGCGGCGACTTCGCCGCATGCGGCCAACTCGCCGCATGAGCGCCTATTTTTGCATGCGGCCGCATGCGACCACCTACCCCACTAACCAATCACAAGTCCTTATTTCGGCTCATGCGGCCGCATGCGGCGAGGAATTCCGGTTGAGAACGGGCCTAAGTATCCTACAGAACAACTAACTTGCAGTCGGTCCGGAGTGTTACAGCACGTGATCAGGTAGGTGACTGCGACGGCGGAAGAGTTGGCGCTGAACCCCATCCGATAGGAACGGACACGGCACGTTGGACGCGTCCAGCAGAGTGAGTTTTCTACAGTCAGCAAACGACTAACAGAACCGCTCCAAGCTGATGATTCCGACGGCACCAGCCCAGCCCTTCCTCCGCCAAAGCACGACGAGTTCAGCCAACTGCTCTGCTGATTGATCACCACTCGCCAGTCACCAGACGGCGAGGGCAGCCTCAAACTGGGGCTGGGTTTCAGGCGCCACTTGGTGCGCGTTCCAGCTGCACCTTCGTCAGTCGACTCTCTTCTACCCCTGAATAATATTCAGTGAATATCGCGGCACGGTTGGGGCTGGCCTCTCTCTTGCCCTGACCGACTCTCCTCTCCATGGTCTCCACTCTCAGAAGCATTCATTCGAGCCCCCGCTCAATGCGAAGGAAGCTTCACACTTCTCTGCGTTCGGAACATGGCGGCGCGTCCATTAGCGCGTCTATCGGCTCTGTGGCTAGTGAGCTGCGCCGTCCACTGTGACGTCGTGGCCGCCACGTGCGCCGCTGGGTCCACGACGCTCACGACCGAGGACTGCTCGGGCTGCGGCGACTACGACTTGTGTCTCGGCTTCACGGACGCCTCGAGCTGCTCGGGCTCCAACTGCGAGACGGCCGGCGCCTGCACCTACGAGTGTCTGAGCGTGGACAAGAGCGCGGAGGAGCTGGTGGTGCTGGTGCAGTTCGGCACGTATAAGAGCGAGCAGGAGCTGGCGGCGGGGGGCTACACCGAGTCCGACTTGGCGGGCTTCCCCGACCAGACGAGCGACTGGCCGTCCGTCTCCAACAACCAGGTCACGGCGCTGGGCAAGATCAGCGTGTCCTCTGCAGTCACGACGTTGTGAGTCGGTCTCGAGGGGGTATTTCATTTTGGTTGGTAGAGTTAGTTCATCTGACAGTGCTGGCGGTGTGTGGTGGTTTGCTAGTATTGTGTCGGGCGGGAGCGCGGCGGTGGAGTACCCCAAGGGCAAGGTCTCGAGTATAATTCTGTCGGCGAATGTCATTTCGGCCGCGACGTCCGTGACCAAGGTGGGGCTCCAGAACCTGGGACTGGCCAACCAGATCGACACCATTTCGGCGTTTATCCCGTCGTCGATTGAGAGTCTGGACCTTAGCAATACGCTACTTACCGAGTTTCCCACAGCGCTGAGCACGTTGCAAGTGCTCAAGGAGCTGTAAGTTATTATTCGGAGAAAGGTGCTGTCATGTTGCTATTAACTGTTGCTACTTGTTTGTTTAGAGTTCTGGATAACAACTACATGACGACGGTGGATTCCATTGAAGGCGTTGACTCCATCACTTCCTTGTAAGGAACACTTTGTGCTTGGCTTTTTGTAGGACAAAATATTTAACTTTCGACTGTGCCCTTGCCCTCGTCACAGGAGCATGCAGAACAACGACATCGATAATTTTACCGCCGTCTTCTCCAAGCTGGAAAAATTGTACGTGCTGCTGTCGTCTAGTTACCCAGGTAAAGTAGGTCCGAGCTTACAAATTATGTTACTCATGTTGACGCAGGTACCTTGGAGGCAATAATTTGACGAGCATCCCCAGCGCCATCTACAGCTATTCCAACCTGAAAAAGCTGTACGTGCACTTGAATAACGTAGCTCAATGTCAATGCTATAACGATGTCTCACACGCTGTTTGTGATGCATACGCAGAAACCTGACTGGCAATCCGCTCTCATCGCGAGGTTTTACAAACGATCAGGCTGAATTCTTGAACAGTTTGGAGACGTTGGGACTATCTGAGTCCGACTTTAGCGCCGACGTGGATTGTGACGACACGTACCAAACGAAGATTGGAGACGCCACCGTGTGCATTACCGATGGAGTACCAACTACTACTGACACTACGAGTGCTACAGCCAGCGGTGCGACGACCACGTCAGGCTCGGACGGATCAGAAACAAAGACAGCGAGCACATCGTCATCTTCGTCGTCTACCAGCTTGATCGTTGGGATCGTTTGTGGAGTGTTGGTGGCGGCATTTGCAGCGTTCCTCTTCATCATCCACCGGAGGAAAGAGGAAAAGAAGATCGAGTGCTCAATAGCAAGCGATACCGTCGGATACAGCAGCGACCACTTCTCGTCTACAGACAATTGGCACCAGCAGCTACAGTCACGTGGACGATTCACTTTCGATGACGTTGATGTGATCATTCCGAGGGGCTCCAGCGATGTTTCTTTGGGGGTTCCGACTATGACTCACGAGAACGAAGTAATCACTGAAGAAGTACCAGGGGCCGGCACTGCCGTTTCCAGTATTCCTTCGTTTGTATCAACAGAGGAGGCCGGCTCGAAGGAAAAGCCGCAGAGATTTATG